TCCAGTGAGGTGAATTTAGCAGTGCCTTTGAGAAATATGAATATTTGAATCAGGTCATGATCTTTTCAGACAGAAAAGATTCAGTTATTTTAGCATGTGAGAATAGGACATTCTTTAAAGTCATAGAATGTGGCCTACCTCACCTCTCTTTTTTGGGCAACAGTATCTCAGAAACGCCGCTGGTGTAGTGGTATCATGCAAGATTCCCATTCTTGCGACCCGGGTTCAATTCCCGGGCGGCGCACGTATTTCGTGTGGCTCTGTGGCTAAGGATCTGTGCCTGTGACTGGAAGGTTGGCTGTTCAAATCCTGCAGCCAGCAGAGGAATCCTACTCTGTTGGGCCCCTGAGCAAGGCCCTTAACCCCAACTCCAGGGGCACTGTACAATGGCTGACCCTGCGCTCTGATCCCAAGCTTCTCTCCCTGTCTGTGTGTCTGTGTCTCATGGAGAGCAAGCTGGGGTATGCGAAAAGACGAATTCCTAATGCAAGAAATTGTACAGGGCTAATAAAGTAACATTACAGTATTAGATAGATACTTTATTGATCCCGTGAGGGAAATTGGAAATTTTAATTGTATTACTGCTAGGCTTATCTTATTAATAGTTCAGCAGGGTTTTCTTGGAAAGTCCTCCCACCTTTAATCCTGAGAAGCAAATTATCTTCTTTACTTCCCAGAGAATCTACACAGGTTCGACTTCCTCTGGCCTGAGTGTGAAAATGTATGCTGCTGGCTGGCGTCTTTCCCTGTCTGTGGCGCCAAGTTCCATTTAACAGTGCCCTTCTCCTCTGTGTTTTGCCAGCCTTCTGTCTTGAAGAGATTGAAGTGAGAGGCAGAGCAGCACCAGGAATGTTGCTGAAAGAGATCCCCCGAGATGCCCTTGTTCGGCCTTTGACCAGGAATGAGGTGGTGGGTTTGGTGGTCCGGCTTACAATCTTTGGGGCGGCGACGTACTTCAGCATCAAGTGGGTGGTGGATGCCCTGGATCCCACTCGTAAACAGAAACTGCAGGCCAAGAAGAGGGTACGTCTGTGTCCGAGTGCAGTGGGCAGACTGAGCTTCCTGTGGGGGGCTGCGTTTCACAGCTTAAATTGAAAGAAATGCGACCATAATTCCTGGCTATTAAAACATTCTAGCAGTTATTTTCATTGATCTGAAGTACTAAGTTATAGATATAAAGAAAGCATTTGTTTCCTTATGAAATGGGATCACTTTGATTTGGTTGTGTAGGACACGGTGATGCCCAGTTGATTGCATATTTTAACTTAAGCTTGAGCTGTACCCTCATCTTGAATTATTCCAAATAATTTAACACCAATTTATTAGGAGGGGATCCAAACTGAGCCAGTAAATTCTAGGCCAGTCAATCTGTTTCGCTTCTGTTACTGGTAAGATTATGGAAACAGTAGTTAAAGATAGTCTTCTAAGACGAACATTTCCAAAATTATGACATTTTAAGAAACAGTAAACAAGGCTTTAGAAAAGGAACGTCTTCTTTAACAAACATGAACAACAGTTGTTATCTCTAAAGCGGGGGTATCAAAGTTAGTTCCTGGATGCATTTTGGACTCTCTACTCTTCATAATCTAAAAGAGATCTAAATCTAGACTAAATCAATTTAGGTACTGGTAGAGTTACCATCCTAGTTCAGTTTACAGAACATAAAACAATAGGGGGGTTGGCCAGAAGAAGCAGCAACAATGGAAATACAATAAATATTTAAGACGGTTTCATGGGGAAATACCCGTTAAAATAAAATTTGCAATGACAAGCAGGAAGTAAGAACACTACCTTTGGGTGATCCTGAGTTACAGGAAGATACACATCAAAGGGAAATTGATGCTTATATAGATACCACTCTGTTCTCATCAAGACAATGCAGGGAAGCAATTAAAAGCAGTCTCTTTTCTTATACAGTATAGCAAAAACTGGAACCGTAATCAGTGGAAGTTATGTTCATGATTAATCTAATAAACAGCCTTTCTTATTTATGTTCATGATTAATCTAATTGACAGCCTTTCTTATTTCCTTGTTAAGATTTTGGTGGCTGGAGCTGTAAGGTTTATGGTGCTTAGGTGCAGTATCAGGATCCTTTCTTTGCCTTACCTTTGTGCACAGGCGGAGCAGCTGATGAAACAGATTGGGGTGGAGGGAATCAAGCTGAATGAGTACGAGATGAACATTGCCTCACATCTTGTGGATCCCCGTAGCATGAAGGTAATTTTGAACAAGCAGAAACACCAGTTGTTACCTCTAATCCAGAGGTATCAAGCTCAATTTCTAAGTACATTTTGGCTCCCTGCTGTTTTCAACCTACAGTAAATGAGATTTAAGTCTGGATTAAATCAATTTAGTTGCTAGTATCTAAATAGTAAATTACTGTTTTTATGGTAAGTAATGCTCCTGCCGACTAAATTATTAAATACACTCTAATTCAGGGAAGACTAGTTGGGTGAGGCCTCAGGTGTTTTTGATTCCTTGGGATAAAACAATTACTTTTGGTGTATTATAATGAATTACTGACTCTAATCTAATTTGTTATAATGAATTATAATAATTGACACTCCCCCGATCTACCCAGATGACAGGTAAATTATAAGATGTATAGTAGCCGGCAGTGTTAATAAAACTGCATTGATTAAAATGTTATGTCGAACTAGGAATTTTAATATTTAAAAAAACTGTAAAGTTAAAAAAAATAATGGTCATTTTGTTTTCAGAGTACCTAGGCTTGGAGGAGTTGCTGATTTTATGTTGTGTGTAGAAATAGACACAGCATTCCTGAGGTTCTTAATAACTTTACATTCCTGACAACAGAGAGGAAACGTGCTGGTTTTATGTCTGTGGAGCTGATTATCTCACTCGCTTGTGAAATGCCCAGAAGAGTAGAAGCTGAGGCTGTATTTTTTTGCCGTGATGCTGCAGGTGACCTGGAGGGACATAGCAGGGCTGGACGAGGTGATCACTGAGCTCCAGGACACTGTCATTCTGCCCTTTCAGAAGAGACACTTATTTAGAGGATCCAAGCTCTTCCAGCCACCGAAAGGTACAGATGACTGTCTGAGCAATTCAAAGAGATCTAAAGCGCACACGCAAAAATAAAAAATCAGGGAAATCTTTTGTTCCATGTTGTAAAGTCACCCAGAGAGTTGACTTGCTCTTAATTCAGGGGGAGTAATGGATGTTCTTCCTCTCCTTTGGCTCTCAAGGTGTGCTTTTGTATGGGCCCCCAGGCTGTGGGAAGACCCTGATTGCCAAGGCCACAGCTAAGGCTTCAGGGTGCCAGTTCATCAATCTGCAGGCCTCCACGCTGACTGATAAATGGTATGGAGAGTCCCAGAAACTCACTGCCGCAGTCTTCTCCCTTGCGGTGAAGATCCAACCCTGCATCATCTTCATTGATGAGATTGGTAATCACAGAGCTTCGTAGCATGCACTATCTTTATACCCACGGACAGCTGCAGCCTGTTAACAGAATGGTCTTATGGACAGCACTGAGTGACAAAGATATTCAGACCTGTGCTAGATAAAACTGGACAGTTGTTTGTGCAGCCAGATCCTTCATTTCTTAATTAAATTACTCATGGATTAATCAGACAATTAAAGTGGGTCAGGTCCTGCAGGATGGAAGGATTGGGAATGCCATTTGGCCACAGCTGTGGTATCATAAAAACTGCTTTGCTGTTTGTCTCTTCTGTCGGTCTGATTTCATTCACTTTGAAGTGCAGCAGTGACCCCTGGAGCTGATTCAGCTCCACTCTGCGGCTTCTTCTACGGGCTCGCAGTAAGAAAAGGAAGTAGATAGCCGGTAGAATGCATATATATGCCCTCTTCATCTCTTTCCTGCTAGCACTTAGGGCTGTTGCAATAGCAATAGCTGATGTTTCCAAAAATATGCAAAAACAAGAGGAAGAAATAATTGTAGATTCCTAAGTTTAAAAAAAAAAATTCATTGTTAGTAGAAGAAGGGTAACAGCTTTTCAATGCTCCCTCATTTCACCTATTTTCCCATTAGACTCGTTTCTGCGCAGTCGCTCCAGCATGGACCATGAGGCCACAGCCATGATGAAGGCTCAGTTTATGAGTCTGTGGGATGGGCTGGAGACGGGCTCAGACTGTCAGGTACAGTGTGGTGTTGTTCTGCAGCATGATGCTGTAGTAAACAGGGCAGACGCGCCTAAAACGGCCTGGCTGCTACCCAGGAACACTGCAACTGTTTTCTGCGCCAGTTTTTCACTTGCAGTGTATTTCTGTTGACAGGTGATGGTGATGGGAGCCACAAACAGGCCGCAGGATGTTGATCCGGCTATACTCCGCCGGATGCCTACCACCTTCCAGATCAATCTGCCTGTAAGAACCTTATCCATGTTAGCAGCTGGTAGAAACAGGATTTTCCCTGTGTTCTCCAGCTCCACTCCTTGATCCTGGAGAGCCGTGGTATAACAAGCTTTTTAGGTCACCACTATTTCCTCAGTTCCAGAAACTTTGGAACAGTTTCACTATGCTGAATTAAGGAGGGTGATTTGTTAAGTAATATAGAGACCATTTCGGATCAAATCTTCCCAGTTTTTAGAAACAGGTGGAGCAGTAACCGTAGGCCACCACTAGAGGCTGCCCTGGAGACAGCCTCACAGACTTCTAGTCAATCAGGGGTCTCCAGCCCCGAAACACCTCAGGTTCCCTGTGGCTTCTTGACGTGAATATTGTTATATGTGAACTTTGTTCTCTATGTCCTCTGTCAGTATTATTAATGAAGATTTGCTAATTGACACTAGCATGAGCCAGTCTAATACAATGGTAATTTATTTTATTATTTTTGTTATTTAAGCTGACAAAGTAAAGTTGGTCACCATCAACCATCAAACATTAACAAGCATTAGGAGAAAATATATATATATGTTTTTGGATCTGCTGTGTCTGAATAAGCATATTTCCTAAACAGGTATTTGTTTTAGTTGAAGTTGACCTATATGTTACTTTGATGGTCCTGAGCTTGGGGAACCCTTGTATCTTTTGAATTTTGAATTTCTTAAGTTGGGGGTATTTTATTTCAATTTTCTATTTTAGGCATAGTATTTAATGTGTTTTCAGCTCTTGAAGTTTGAAGTCTTGAAACTCATAAAGTGAACACCTAAAGAAGGCTCCACAGCCAAAACGTTGCATCTCTTTTCTTTTCAGCCTGTTCCTTTGCAGCCTCCCTACTTAAATATCACACTCCATTACAGTTTTGCTGCTGGCTTTCCTAGAAAATTCTGAGATTGATTTTATATATTTTTTATTCCCAGAGATATAGCCACTTTTTCTGCTCTTCTTTTCCTTTCTATAGAGTCAAAAGCAAAGGCAAGACATCTTAAAGCTGATTCTGGCGGGAGAAAATGTAAGTGTCTTCCCAGCACTTCATTCTTAAAACGTTGCAGCCCAAATCAAATCTCTCAGGGTATTCATTAACCTTAGATACCTTCAATTAGGTAGATACAGATTTCTTCTTGAAGAGGTGTACTTGATACTTTCATCTTTTGCTTGTTACCATATTGCAATCTTAAATAAAGATCAGCAATTGCCCCCTGCTGCATCTATCTAGCCTGAAGTCACAAATCTTAATGAACATTATTATAATAAACATTATGTTTATTTCTTTTGGGTGGGGATTGAGTTCTGATCATTTTGAAAGAGAAATATCAGTTATGGCAAAGTTGGTTTAATGTATGACAGTCTTAGTCAAGCTCAGAAATCTAATCAAAGTACAGATCATAAGATATAAAGAAATAAGTGCAAATTGGATCATGGATGATGACATACATGTGGCAATGCTCTTCTGCAATTAAGGGGTCTCCTTGGTAATGGGAGACTCTGAGTCAGCCATGTGAGATTAAAGTATTATATTGAGTATTGATTTTGCTTCTGTAGTAGCTGATTATGACTTGAAACAGAGAGGACCTATAAGCAAACATAAAAGGCCCTGGGATACAAAAACACAGCCGTAGTTGCAATACAGCAAGGTTGAAGTTAGTGCAGCAAAGCAACATCACAATGCATTTTTTTGCGGCAGAAGCAACGATATTCCACTAACCAGATCTACTTGAACACTGATCCTTGGGCAGTTCCTGACCATGCAAATGTAGGCAGCAGGTAGGAAACAAAGTGACAGTAAATCGTTTGAAACGTCTTTCACGAGGTCTGTGTTTTTTCCGCTCGCAGCTCAGCAATGCCATCAATCTGAAGGAGATAGCAGAGAAGACGGGGGGTTACTCTGGCAGCGACCTGAAGGAGCTTTGCCGGGATGCAGCCATGTACCGAGTCAGGGATTATGTGCGCAAGCAACAGATGAAACAAATCGCGCACCAGCTGCAGGAGCTGGACGTGGAGGAGAGGTACGTGTTACCAGAATCCATCGGAAAGACATGTGAACTGCTGGAGCTTCGCTGAAGAAGAACTGGAGGCAGTATAAGCTAACATACAAGTTACTGTCTGCAGTTGCTGGGGATGTTTCAAGTAATCGCCATACTAAGGGTAACAAAGGAACACGAGGTTACAAATGAGAGGAGGCCGTTCAATCTTCTTTGATTGATAGCAGGTCATGGAGTTGAGTACCTCGCTCACCATCTCTTGCAGGATCCTAGGGAATTGGGGTCAACCACATGGCTTGGCAGCTTGTTCCAGACACCCAGGTTTTTCTTGGTGGGGATTTTTGACCGTGCCTTCATGAAGAACTTCTCGGTCTCCTTCAGATTATGCTTCTTGTGTGAGAACCTACTCTAGCAGCCTGTGTGAGCTGCTTTCTTTAGTTCACACCAGAGATATTCTGAAGGCTTGAGCTGTGAAGATTGTGGTGGCCAATCAAGAATTTTGATTATATGTTCCAGTAGTCACCTGCTTGGATATGTTAAAGGAGTGCTTCAACACCATTTTTTAGGATAGAATACCCACAGTTTGTTCTTCAGTTCTTATGAAGACACCAGGACCAGTGAAAGCCACATATCCCCATATTCCCATTCCTTTTTTCAATAAGAATATTACCTAGTTGTATAATTCAAACCACTGAGACTGTCCGTGTTGGCTTTAGGGTTCATTATTTGCTATTTCACTGATTAATGCCTCTTCTTTTTGTGTTGCTATGCAACTCTGCCCAACACCCACATTCTCCTTATAATAACAAGGCAAAAAGTTCACATTGGTGTTAAACAGGGGGCAGAAGGAGAAAAAAAAATAATTAAAAAAATCAATAAGTCAGATAAGTACTTTTGGATGATAGACACCACGTTTTTTTAAAGCTCTCACTAGAATTGCTGTGGACGATAATCTTCTGCCTTAGATTTGTATACAGTTCTCTGACTTTTCCCCCCTCTTGACATGGTGAGTGTTTTGCTATTATTTTAAGACTTCTCGAATACCCAGTGGCAATCAGGGTGACTTTTAGAAGCTGCTGTAAGCTTTGAGGCTTTGTAAAGCTATTATATGACCAAAAAGATTACAGGATTGTGTTTTTGGCATTTATTTTCAAGACATTTACAGGGATGTGATTAAATTAGAACCTCATTTATTTAGAAAAATGTGCAATAATTTTGGACAACTATTTTTCTGGTGTCTGGTGCCACAGTGCTGCCCTTAACATTTTTCTTAGTATGAATGCATTTTTAGTCAACTATGTAAATATCCAAAGAAGATATTTAATTTGCGGTTTTCATTAATGCAATATACAGGAATTTCTAAATAGCTGTTAGAGTATAGTACAAACCAATCCCAAACCAATAATGAATCCCTTTGTTTTCATGATCGTTTTTACTCCCTAGAAGGGACTGTTCCAGCAAAGATGTTTCTGAAAGATGCTTCTACACATATAAATATACAGAAGCATTTCAAATGTCCTGTCTTTCAACCCACATACTATTAAAGCCTGAAATGCAATACTTGACACCACGTACTCCATTAGATCAACTTTGCAAAAAACTTTTGTTGAATTTTATGTGGTGTGAACTCTGATTCATGATTGAGTTCAGTGTTCTTTTGTCTGGTTTTGTTATTCATGTGTATTGTACAAGAATCCTACACTCTTCTGGTTTATAGTGTCTTTAACAGTGTTTTATGCATTATTCATTGCATTGATTTGATATTGTATCTTGATTGTATTGATTTGATTTTGTATTTTATTGTCTGTTATAAGACTCTATTACTGTTTGAGACAGATCTTTTCATAAATCCAAATGTAGCTTGTTCAATGTGTTTTCAACTAATTGTTGAACTAAGAACTAAGAATAATCAGAAATACATCATTGTGAATAGGACTAGTCCTCATATTTGTACCTTCATGGTTAGATTTGTCTTCAGCAGTCATTGCATGGAGGAAAACTGGTGTAACCAAAAGAGCTTGAGACAATGAGACTTAATTATGTGCTGTAATGTCATGTCATAATGACATATTTCACTTGTTTTTCTTAAGGGTTATGCTGACAAACTTGAAAACTGCCCTTTTGCCACTTACAAAACTTTGAATCTTCAAATGTATACAATTATCATCAGAAGAAAAAAGACACTGTTTTTAACCTGATAAGTCAAGTGAGAAAAAAAAAACCTCCTCTATGATGTTGACCTAGAGAGTACACAACAGGGCTTTTGACTGAGTGAAGTACCATGCTCAAGGGTACCACAGCAGATTCCCACCCCAGATTCAAACCTTCAACCTTCTTACCGCAGGTCCTAATCATTGCCCTTCATGGCTGCCCAGGATAATGTGTAATTTTTAACAATGTTTTTAAGGCATGTACTGTAACCTCTAGCTACAGTATAAATGCCACGTTTCAACGCTACCTTAAAACCACAAAAGGCATGAATTCAGGACGCCCACCTCTTGAATTGTTTTGAATCTTGCTGACAAGATTTTGCTGTGCTGTGTTCTTCCAGGCCAGTAGATGAAGACAGACTGAGGCCGGTAACACAGCTGGACCTGCTGTTTGGTTTGGAGAAGATGAAGGACTCCAAAGCAGCCACTGTATCCCAGAGGACACTGAAAGAGGTCCCCCTGGACTAATCCCTCCGTCCTCGCCAGTGCTGTGCTGATTGAAGTGTCATCTGCACAGTGCACACTCAGAAGTAACCTCAAGAGCTGCTGTGAGGCCAACTCGGCGTCCTGCATATTCTAAAGGTGGAAGCTGCCTTATCGGGCCAAGGGGTATTACGTCTTGCTGTCTAGCTCCTTATTCTTTTTGGTCTGTCATAATTCATTTCAGCCAGGACAGAGTGCAAAGGCTGTAAACCGCATGTCTGTTTAATAATTGTTAATAGTGCCCCCACCACCACTTCCATGTCAAACTTGTTTCGTAATGACATTCCCAGCCTCAAGTCTTGAGAGTGTGTGAGAAACTCAGATGTCATAAAGAATTAGAAAATGCATTAGAACATAATTACTGCAGTTGAATCTGGTCTTGCAGGCCCTTCATGACTTAGTAACGGTCACTGGTCTTGTCAAGAGAGACGGGCTAGAGTTATCTGAGTTAAATATTCTGTAGGATTGTGTGGTGTTGTTATGTTGCATTGAATTTCCAGTTGCACTTTCACAATGCAGAAGAAAAAAGGTAAATATTGGGCTGTTTACACTACAAATCAATTTATTGTAGTAACTTTGTGGATCGCAGGTTTAATAAATGCCATGTAGGCTGATAAAGTTATGTAAAGTAGTGTTTTTAGTTGGGGGATTTGAGATGATGCTCTTAAGTGCAGTACGTTAAATGGCCAATTACAACCAGAATGACCAGTTCAGGTCTGGGATAACAGTTTTCAACATTGAATACCTTGGCCTGAAATACTAATTGTGATCATACAGGATTTTATTAATTGTAATTTACAGAGTTAATGTAAGCATTGCCAACAGACTTAAAGGGATGACTGCACATTACTTGCTAAATTGATAAAATATTATAGACATAATTGAAAGAACAGTTCATTAATCAAATCAACTGGATTAAGGAGCATCAGGACCATGATATCTGATTCCCATGACTATAAATATCCTGCTTAATCTCAGAATTCTGATTAATTGGATAAAAAGGATAAACACGTGCTTTCAAAAAAACATAATTTTGTTGCTGGTTTCCAATCTTGGCGTCCCTGAATGTTTTTGTTTCCCTAAAGTAAATGTCAAATGTAGTCAATCAGATAGAAATGTATCCACCTGGGTTAAAAGTCAGACAGAAAGGGGAATTGTAGTGTGAAGTGATTATGTGCTGTGTGCTTTTTCTTTTTGCAGAAGCTCTCCATTCAAAGATGAACAGGCACCCAATGTAAATGAAAACCTAAATATCTACAGTATTTTATTTGTTACCATCCAACCCCCTGTTGCTTTTTTAATAGCTTACCTGTGGGTATCGGATGCATCCGGACACCTTATTTGTTTGATGAATCTTGTGAATGGCCATATTTAAGATGAAAATAGCAAGAGTGCTTTCTTTGCTCCGGGAGTGTGCTTTGTGATCCATTAGCAGTCTCTCTTAATGGCTCACCTCACTTCCTAAACCCATGAAATAATGGTACTCTTGTGATGCAGTAATCTTTTCACATGTATATGCCCTCATTCTTTCTATATCAAAAGCTGAACAAGAACAATCTCACATGCCTTCCCTTGTGTATGAGTGAAAGAACTGTCATCAACAGAGAGCGACAAAAGAGCACTTTGATGCTTCTAAGCCTGTAGCTGAGAATAACTTAAGTTTCCTAGAGAGCCTGGAGGAACACATTGCATACCAAGTCTGAGTGAACATTGCTCTGTGCAAAGTGACCACCTAGTGTCACTGTTGCTCAGTTCAGAAACTATTATTTTGTGCCTGAAAGCTTGATACAGCTTTTGGCCTTAAAATTTCTGTCCTCTTATCATACCATTTCCTTTGCATGACTTATGTAATGATGTCGTTTTAGATGATGGATGTTCAGAAGTGTGAAAATTAGTCAGAATTAGGAAAGTTTTGTGTAGCACTTTGATTTAAATTCAATTCAAGCTTTATTGTCCCCTAGGGGAAATTTGTTTTACGGCACAGTCAAACACAACACAATGACAATACACATTGTCAAAAGAGAATACAGCAGTGTTACAGGAGACAAGGTAGTTACTTTGCATTGTTTAAGAGTGTGATTGCAGTGGGAATTAAATATTTTCTGAGTCTGTTGGTTTTATACCTGGGGGTTTTGAAATATTGATTTGAACTTACCCCTAACCATATTTAGCCAGTGAATATTCCTGCCAGACTCTGAGGGGAACACAAGTGCTGAAGACTAACACTGTTTTGTAGAATCTTATATTCAGGACAATGCACACAGCAGATGGTATTCAGTGAAACCTTGCACCAAGTCATGTCCAGTTTTGCTGTAGTCAGTAATGTCCACTAAAGTGATGCAGGTGAGGCTGGGTTTAAACCTGAGAATGCAGAGAAAAGATTCAGTGCACTCCACACACCTCCTGATAGAAGCTTCCTCTCTGGCTACCCAGTAGCACCGCACAGATCTGTTAAGCACAATTTATTTATTTTCTTATTGGTTTTTCTGAACCTGTGGAGATAAACTGAAATGTTTTAGAATAGTTTCATTTTTACAACAGATTCTCACTTTCTTTTCCTTTCTCATATTTTTTCTTTAAGTGTGTTAGTTTTGTTATTAGACAAAAGTTTTGTTATTAAAAAAACAGGAGCTGGGAATTCATAATTCATAGGATTTTTTATTACCACTGTGAAACAGAGAATTTCAAATGGCTGTCTTCCATACTGTAGGTAATATAGTGTGCCTAACAACTACAGTTACAATAGATTATTTCTGTTAAAGAGTGTAGTAGAGCTTTATTCAGTTAAATGTATGACCCTTTTAATCTGTAATCTAAATAATCTAAGAGCAAATACAAAATTATCTTTTAAGTTCTTACATGTGCAACCCTTTAGGAGTTCAAATCAAATAAGTATAGTTTAACTACTAATAATAACAAATTAGCAAAAAAATACTTTATGGAATTGAAAGTTCAATGACTTCTATGTGACTGCATGTGTTTTCGACTTTGTGTACAATATTTGTTCCTCTAAAATGAGCCACAAGAGACTAGCCTTCTTAAATCCTTTGTGTATTTTTTCTGTTTACTGTTGTTCACAAAATATGTCACATCATGATGATAGAGAAAACCCTAGCTTGTGTCAATGTGGTCACATGGGATACATAATTTTCCTTTCTTTTGAAAGGTTGAATTTCAAACATTTGTCTTCTGGAAAACAAAATCTTAGGCAGCTGTGAAATCAATAGCCTCTTTCACTAATGCAGTAGGTCTGCTACTGTATCACATGGAAACTTATCTGTTGTTCAATTACTTTTTAAAGAATACAGAATGATATCTTTATGGAATTCCATTTTGCACTGTTTGAAGTGAAAAAAGGCTGCATAGGTATTTTACCAATATTTTAACATCAAAAGTTGGGAAGGACTGTGCAGCTTTAACTAGCCTGGTTCATATCAAAACCTCAACCCATTCACTAATAACAAACTACAAATTCTGTAGATGATAGCGGATTTCCATTGGATTAAAACTAGAGACCTTTGGAAACAGAAAGCCACCAACATGTGTGGGGTGTGGAATTTAGGCAGGTAAAAATGTCTTCTCAAGACCTTACTTAGTCAGATAATGATTTACTGACCTCTCAAATTATTGCAGTTCTTTATGGGTTTGGAGAATTTGCAAAGACCATTTACTTTCCTTTAATTCCTTTATTGTGAGATGCAAACAATCATCAGAAATGACAAGCTCCCTTTTCTGTCAAAATAATCCCATCAAGCCTCAGGCACCTGTGCCATGTGAAAAATTGGATTTTATCACTATCTTTCATATCCTACTGAAAGTAATATGATTCTGTTGGTTGGCGTTTTTCATGTATTTATTTTAATGGATTCTTGATGAATGTCAGGGAACCTGTGCTTCTATGCCCCTGCTGAGCAAGGCTTGAAGAGTGTTTACTCGTTTTTGTACAGTATTTGTTATCATGCAGCACTAGCTTTTGAAAAGGCGACGAGGGTTAAAAAAAATGCTGGCTCATGGGGTTTATAAAGGAAGCGAACCTGCAGAAATGGAGGACACTGAAGTTGAAAGTTACAACTTTGATTAATGAGTAGAAAACCATACGTGATTTATTTCTGCTTTAGAGAGATGGTAAGAAAATGCAATATCTTCGAGTTCTCTTCTGATGTAATAAAAGTCAAATTGTCTCATTCTTTTCTGTGTGTTTTCTCCTTAGTGATAGTTCTGTGTTGCAAAAAATATGTTTAATCTCTTTGTTGCTAAAGGATAGAATTTGCTTCTCAACTATTGGACAGTTAATGTCTTGGTTCAGCTTCCAGCTCACTTCCAGATTCCACTCATAATAAGGAGCAGTGAAGACACTTGAATGACCTCTGATCCCTTTGCCAATTTAGGTCCTTAGTATTTAAACATGAAATTGAAGAATCCGTAATAATGGGTGATACAGCATCTCTCTCAATAAGTTAAGTCCCTAGACTGGCACAGCTCAAAGACAGAATCCTCTGGATCCTACAGAAAAGGAAAGGGTGATACAAGGAAACTAAGGTGCAGGCAGCAATTCAGAAAGAGGGCTGAAGCAGAAGAATCAAAGGTTGGATAGAAAAGAAATTTAGATTTTTCACTTTTACCAGAACCTTAATAAACACAAGCTGTCACAATGGTTTTCATACAGGTACATACTGTACCTATTGAAGTCAAATTAATAGTATGTGTGAAAAAGTTATTCCAAGTACGGATTGTGAGATTTTTGTTCCTCTCCTCTTTCTGCTCCAAGTCAATATATACCAGGTTACTTTGGAAATATTGACTTATAACCCATATTGTAAGCAAGCATGTAAGAATGTGTCAGGTCACTTTAGTGGGCTGCCTGAATTGATGATATAATGTATGTTTAATAAGGGCCGTGAAGGAAAACAGATGTCATTGCTGGTTCGGAATATGTAGATGTGCAGCATTTGCCATGGAGTGACACACAGTGTGAGTATATCATAGTGCACATAAAAGATGTACAGTATGTGCGAGTAAGTAAACACATTCAGCAATTCCACCGTTCATCTGCAAGAAGTATAGCTAATGATGGCAGAGAGGAACAGGGCATTTGTCATGGTGAAAGTTGGAATGTCGAAGCTGTTGTTTTATATGTCATCTTAATGTCCACTAATCAATCATTTCTTGTCTGTTAACTTGGGTTCAGATAACTGATCATCTTCATCCTCTGCCACACATTTCCCCACAGCAAGAAAGGTCTGTAATTTTTGGCATCTTCACATCCAAAGATGTATGGCAAGCAAGGGTTTCCTGTGCTGTAGGACTTATCCCTGTCAGAGCTTTATGCATCACCATTGAGTTGTAAGACAATGCTCAGTCGTAAATAAAGCTAACTATGCTCACAGAAGATGAAAAGATGCCATTTTTCACAGCTACCTAAAAGGTTTAGTCAGAGTTTTGCTGAAGCTTGACGCTATGTCTGGAATTGCCAGATGATGACTGTTTTGCCTGTAGTAGTGTTTGTTGAATTAGATTGGTTTGGTGGGTAAGAAGTTGTGTTGTGGGATTGAAACTTAATTCTAAACTCCTATCAGAATGTGCTGTTACTATAGAGTAGTCTACCTTCCCAATGCTACGGACACAACATCTTGCATCTATTCAAAGTTGAAACCTCATGGACACAGCTACTTGTCCAGCATGACAATGCTTTTCCTCATACAGTCAGGGTTACACAGATAGATGTTTATACACACATGTTGAATTGGCCTTCATGGCCACCAGATAATGGAGCACTTGTTTGGACACTTTGGCTATTTGAGATTGACAGGAACATCCTCGACACTCAGACTGTGACAGAATTATTACAGGCTGCGGCATTAACTATAGCTCTCACATGTACTGTACCTGTGAGACACCTGCATATGTCAGGCAGTTGTCAGGGTACAGGGTTGTCACACCATTTAATAGGCACCAGCGACCCCTGCGTGTTTTCAGGAAATATGTTACATTATTGTGTTTATAAACGAAATCAAGGAATGTATTTGCCATGGTCACAAAATAATTTCACTCAAATAATAGCATTTGGATTTCCATCTCAGTATATACTGTATACAGACAAAGACCAGCTTTGACTAATATTAAATTTAACATGAATCAGAATGCATATAAACCTAGGCGTCAAAGACATTTTCCATAGCAAAGTAAATACAACTCACAAATATCAAAACAAAAACCAAATAGTTTCCACAGAAATCTATAGGAGTTCCACTCACAAGTCCAACATAAGTGGTTGTGAAGAGAGATTTTCTAAGTACATTTCAGTTTTATTTTTCTAAAGATATTTCACAGGCTATACAACATTTTTAAGCATACTTCGTTTTGTGTTACTGCACCTCTGTGTTGAGTGAGAGGTATGAAGATTTAGCTGTAAACTTTGCAGCAATTGTGGTTTCAGTCATTGTGGTAAAAAGCACTGCAATGAGCTTGCAAAGTCCCCACAGGTTCCAAGAAACATTTATACAACAGTCAGGAACTCTTGATTTAAATTGGTATGTGAACACTAGAAATTAAGAACGTGTCTCCGTCTCTTGTAAATTAATTTGCCCCTCCATTTCCTGACAGAAATTAATGTTCAAGTCAACTGGTGGCTAATCATTGGAGTTTGCTTACGCAAAATAGCTTTTCTGCAACCAGTTCAGTTCACTCCTTACTCAAAAGCACAAGCGCAGCCTCCATTCCCTTTTTCTTAGCCGAGCAACGAACATAGGTACAATATAGCTTGACACTAAAATATGGACATTTAATTTTTATTACTTTAAAAATCCCATTTCTGTGGCTTGGAACAAGTTTCCATTTAGCTTTCCATTAGATATTCAGCTGGACGTTTGCGAAAAATAGTGAGGGGAATGGGCTTAGGACAAATGTCAGCAAAACTACATTTTTTTTTCCTTCTGAGTTTCTTCCATTCAGTTTTGAAAGTCTCTGCTCTTTGTGTCACAAAAGACATCAATGAAAAGAAGGTGGCCCGGCTTTTTCATGCACTGGTGACTTTAATGTTGGTATATTGATGAGGTTAAAGGAAATAGTTCTCTTAGGTATGGGTAGAATTGGTAAACTATTAGCCTTGCTTTTACGGCCAGTATGATTAGAATTTATCAGTGCATGCAATGCCAAAACAACTTGTTTCTGTTCTATGATTTTCCCCTCTTCTACCTGTCATGTTCGTCTTCAGAACTGCACTTGTGCTGTCTACTGCATTGTTTTGCTGTAAGTAATCCATTAGGCATATCAAAGGTTTCTTGATATCCTGAGCGACTGAGGCGAATCATTTCTGAAGCAGAGGAAAGTCTAATGAGGTTACTTACATGAAGTACTTGTGCTGTATTTTTTCCCTCGTTCTTAATTTCTGTTTGAAGTGTGTTAATCCCAAGACATGAGGGCGAGGATCAGCATGTTATAATTTTAAAAAATGAGCCCCGGGGCCAATTAGCGAAATTCTTCTTTAATGAAGCCTTGTGTTAATTTTTGATTTTGCTACCCAGGGTAGCTATGCTGTAACTGTACAGAATGGGCTGTACAGTATCTCTTAGGGATGCTATCTTTCTGGTTTTCATCATATTTTTCAGTGTTCTTAATTTCAATTCAGGATTATTTCAAGGTAGATTGAAAATTTAAATACCTTTAAATTTAGATTGAAAGGTTTTATCACATTTGTTTTGCAGGATTGGGCACACTTGCCTTTTATTATTGCCTATTTATTATTATTGTGCTTATTATTGTATTGCTATTGTAAAGGTAATAAATATGCACCAGAGGTATTTCTGGACCACAGTAGAGTGTCTGTGTACTCAGTTGCTATTACATACAGTGGTGAAATCCTGTCCTGTAGTGTCATTTGGTCAACAATGGCAGGCATCACTTAGTTACCTGCGTTAATGATCAATTAGAATATGATGCCCCACTACACATAGAGTAGCTGATGATTCAGTCCATTTCACTGATTAAACAATTACTTATTTGCTCAGCGGACATCCTTGTTCAGAGCAATTTACAATATAAGTATGTTATAAATATGGAAGTACAAGGAATCATTGTGTAGCCACAATGAATACATTTTATAAGTGCATTTATAAAATGGCAGTAAGACTAGCACAATCTGGAAGATCACAAGTGACATACAAAGAGAATGAAATAGTAAGAACTACAACAGTATAGTCCACAGAAAGTGTGAACACAGGGCAGTCGCATACAGTCAAATACATTTAAATGCAGTAAATGCTAGTTTAAATAAGTCAGAGCAGGGGCAAACAGCAGTTTAAGCTGCACTGATTAAAACAAAAGCTGAAGGGAATGCAGAAAACATTAATGGCGAAGACCATTTAGATGTTAATGCTCCTATAATCAGAAACTGAAGCATCTAAAACCCAGGGTTATATAGACAAAGCATAGTACAAAATGAAACATTACACATTTTTCCACAAGTGTTTTGATCCTACAAGTCACCTTTTAAGGTTAGGGTCTGATGTCTACTTCAAGCTCAGTAGTTTCTGCATTTGTAAAATTATGACAATGTATTTTTAAATACTTTTGAGGTGGGGAGAAATGTCATGATTCTAGAATGCTGTAGTTTTCTCTCTGTACAGTACAATCTGTATGGTGTAACTAGACTTGATTTATAAAACCATGTAATTAATGCTGCCATTCTGAAGTGATGAGATTGGTGACATTATATTACAAGTTTGCTTTTGTCATATGGGCATTTTTTAAATAGCACTTCAGAATGCAGTGCTGCACAGAATTTAAGACCTGCAAGTTGCCATGTAATGTAGCTGGGTGAGTAAGGATCAATCTGTTAACTGACAGTGTCATTGCTGATGTAATTTGGCAGCACAAAAACAATGTCTGTCCAAGGCATTGTTAATTATTAATTAACCATGTTTATTTGATTTAAGTGTATATTTTTGTAGAGTTTTATTACTTTATCAGCTAATGCTTTAATAATAATATTATTATCTTAAATGCTTTTCAGGTCATAGTAAATGGGGTTTACAAGGGGTGAATAGCGGCTACTGTGAAAGCTATAGTACACACTGTAGACTCACACTGCTTCTGTACCTCAGTTTTACCATCCCTCATATCAGAAATATAGACATTAATAAGGATGTTCTCCTGTTATGAATTTTAGAGATAAACAGTATTTGAGTA